TCCACGCCATGCCAGTAAAATCTGTTAGCATCACTGGATTAGAAGCTGACGACCACAGCAAGTAAGAAAGTGTCCACTTCCAATTTGAAGAGCTGCATTTCTGACTAGTAAAAATGAGGGCACATACAGGCAAGAAAGAACCTACTTTCAATTTCGAGACCAGTGATGTGACAGGAAATTTTCCCCTCACCAAGTCAGCAGGGAGATCAATGGAAGACTAAGTTATGATGATGAAAACTCATAGCTCCATTAAGCAGCTGTAATAGGGTACCTTCGACGTTGCCGTATCTGTTCACGTTCGTCGAATGTGCTCTTTGGATCATAACACCCAAGTAGAAATTCCCATACTTCTCCTCTAATTGATGGATGAATACCCTAATGTATATAACAAGAAGAGGAGGAGTAGAAAGCATCAAGAATTAATGTTATTAAGAGAAGCAACAAAACATCGAGTAGGAAAGTAGATTGACAAAAGTATCTTGAAGGCAGGTAAGGAAAGATAAACCAAAGGCACAAAATAACATAAAATATGAATAGATGTCCCTGCCATATTTTGAGCAAGGTACAAGGACAAAGCATTTTCCGATGAAGTAGACAAGAACAAATGAAAATATCACAGGCCATGCACCAAAATCTTTGAAGTTCCGTTTTCTACAATCTATTGCAATCGCGGATCTCATTCATGGTTGGTGACATGCAAGAAAAATTTATATCCTAATATGCACATCTAGAAAGCAGCCTGGAGGAATGGTTTCGGAAGGGAAAAAAATATGGAATAGCATGACGTAACCATCATATGTAAAGTTAATCTGGAACATGTTCTCCTCATATATAGCAGCTTGATCAAAAAGTTCAAGAAAATGGTCCATCAGGAGGCTAGGGTTTCAAATGTTAGTTTAAGAAAATTCTTGCTTCCTTTTGGAAAAAGCAATAGCTCAAATCAATCTCCTCAAGCTCAGACTCATAAGATTATGCTTACCCCATGTTGAATTCGGCTCAAAGTCTTGCCTATATCCAGATACCCTTCAGGAGAAAATGCAGCATGCCATTTTCTTGCACTCAATGTTTTCCCAGCCTAAATAAGCAAGAAAAGCAGAAAGCATTAGCCACTTTGATATGAACAGTAGAAAAGGCACAAAACAACCATTTCAGGTCATAGAATTATTCTGGGGATTAGGAGCATATGGAACTTTATAGATTGTAAACCTCTTATTCTCATGGAACCAGTGTCATTCCAGTTTGCTACTGTTTTGAGAGGGACCTCTCTTTTTGAAGTACAAAAAAATTTACTGAACAATCAGAAATATAAATGGTCTTTCACTCGCGAGACTTTGAATGGTAGTCACTCAAAGTAAGAAAGGTGATGTGTACACTTCTGATTGCTAAAAGCTTGCAACACCTAGAAAGCTCTCTCTCTCTCTCTCTCTCTCTCTCTCTCTCTCTCTCACACACACACACACACACCAAACAACAAATAGAATTTAACAAAAAGAAATACGAGTAACAGAAGTTCGAAATCTTGCAAGAGAAACCATTTAACCGGCACCCACTTTCTTAAAACCTTAGGAACAATGTGATAAAGCGCACTCAAAGTACTACATTTCAAATACTTTTCTTCTATTCCAATCCTTGCATCATCCAATCTCAACAAGGTAAACAATAAAGCTGGGTGCTTTCAAGATTCGGCATTTTCTAAGTCACACCAGCGCTTCCTAAATCACACCATCATTCGCTCGCACCCTTCGATCAGACAGCCCCGCAAATCTGTCACCACGCAAAAGCACATTGCGAAATATTTTCAACATCAAAGACGCATCACGTCTAGACAATCCAAGAAACAAAAGAAAAACAACCAATGCGGAACCTTGATCCTGAAGCGCGTCTTGGGAACGTCGGTGCATTCGTCCCGGACCTCGTAGAAAGAATCGGCAGGGGCCCCAGGATCTCTCCAGATCGCCGGAACACGAAACTCCATGCAATCTTTTCACGATGTCGAACGGCACGAGCAGCTAGACGATGAGTCCTCCTCCTCAAAACGCGGATCACAGTGCCAGAAACGCACAATGCGGCGGCGAGACCAAGTCCGGCGACCACCTTCGACGCAGAGCGAAGAAAATCCTGGGAAAGAGCAATCAACCAGAAGCGAATAAATTCCCCCTTTCTTCCTTTTTTCTTGTTTCTTTCTCTCTTCTTTTTTATGGTTCCGTTGCGAAGAGGCTGTTTCTTAGGTGGATGTCGGAGCCGCCGAAAGGACAATGCGGTGGCGTCCGGTGATGTCCTGTCAACGGGCGTGTGAGGCGGCGGCGGTTGGGAATTACTTCATTTTTCTTTTGCGGGGGGGTTGGTGTTTGTTGTTATGACCATCTCACAACACACGGGAACACAGAGCCGGTTAACGCGTTACTTAAAACACGCTCGCTTTGTCTAAATTTAACTCCTTTGATTACTGAATGATCCCCCACCCCTCTTTCTTTATTTGGGTTTTTTGGCGGGTTCATCATCATCATCACCTCCCTCGTATTCTCTTACACCTCCCTCGTCCGTTCTTCACTTCTGTATCTCTCCATTTGGCCCAGATCGAATTCGATTCATGTCTGGAAATGAAGTCGCTTTTTCTTGTCGCAATCTATTACCCTTTTCCCGATTTTGTATGTCGAGTGAAAAGAGGAACAAAGAGGGCGAGATTTCGTTGGTCATCCACAGTGCGATTAGCTTAGATATTTGTTTTCTTGAAATGGGTGCGTACTCCGAGCGTTCCTCTTCTCCCTCCCCACGTATTTCAGAGTACACTTTTCCCGGTAGAAATGCCGGGAAGAAGAACTCACAAAGACGGGGGTCAGACCCTGTGCGAGCGAGAGAGAGAGAAAGAGAGAGAGACAGAGAACCCAAGAACAAAGTCTACGAACGGAAGTCCAAGAGGAAAGAGATGTCCCCTTGATGAACACCTTTTTGTCTTTGATACGATGTAACTACCATTTGCCAGCTTCAATCTTCAATGATGAGACCCCCAAGATTGATTCAAATCTTCAATTAAAAGGTCAACCATGTGCGATCGAAACATAACACCTTAACTTCTTGTGGACGTTTTGATCTGATTCTCGTTATTTAGTGAGTTCTGCAGCAACATGATTTACCTGTCGGTTCTATCATCGTAACAAGGTGATAGGCCAACGAAGATGTACCGGGCCATAGGTTACTTTATTATTCGAATCATGGTAATAGACACGAAGTCACAAACACTGAATTTATTAGACATTCTTTTGGATGTATCTTTTGTATAATCTTTATTAGGGATACTTTGAAGATGTTGTTGATTGAGTGTCTTTCACTAATTTTCCTCGACAACTTTTATTAATTTTAACATTTGAAAATTAAAAAAAAAATCAATTTGAATTTTTAATAGTTTCTTTTAGTGCACCAAACCTTCTAATTACCAACTACATAATGTTCGGTTCAAGTTGTAACAAATGCACATTTTGAGAAAGCCCATCATTGCTGCTTCACCACAGCACGAGTGGAAGTAGAGTTGGAATCACCTTACACCATAGGGAAAATTGTCAAAAAAGCCTTAAACCTATTGCACTTTTGCCAATTCAGTCCTAAACCTTTTAAGTTTGCCAATTCAGTCATAAACCTTTTCACTTCTTGTCAATTCAGTCATAAACATTTTCACTTCTTGCCAATTCAGTCATAAACATTTTCACTTCTTGTCAATTCAGTCCATTTGGCCGGTCGGCGCTGACGTGGCCGCCTGGCCAGCGCTGATAGCTCGCCAGCCCGTGCCTCTGGCCGGTCGCCGGACCGGCCAGAGAGAAAAGGCAGTAAAAAAAGAAAAAGAAATTCGAAAATTAAAAAAAAAAACATTTAAAAATTGCCACGTCAGCGTTGGCCGGGCGGCCACGTCAGCGCCGCCCGGTCAAATGGACTAAATTGGCAAGAAGTGAAAAGGTTTAGGACTGAATTGGTAAACTTAAAAGGTTAGGACTGAATTGGCAAAAGTGCAATAGGTTTATGACTTTTTTGACAATTTTCCCTGCACCATAACATAACTAAACCTACGCCACAAAGAAGCAAAGGCTTCCCGAGTCCGCTGAGCAATGAGCAACCGGAGGGTTTGAAGCCTGTGGATGAGGGGATCCCGAATTATCTGTGAGCTAGTCCTGCGCCATTAGGCCAACAAAGAAAACCTACCATTTTCATGTTTAAGCTTTCTATATCTACACATTTGGTAAAGGAATGTACTTATGCTATCATGGACATCATCTAAAAGAATGGAAAAGGATTAGAGAAAGTGTGCGCAAGATGAGATCTCTAAATTGACTTAATTATACCTTCTCTGTCCCAAGTAGTAGGTCAAATAGAAAGAGAATGAAATATAATCAAAGAATGTTCGCCACAATCTTGAGCTCCCATTCCATGCTCCAAAAATGACGAACAGAAGAGTCAAGGTACAATGTGAAAACAACAGGACTCACAAAGTTTTTTACCTCAAAAGCTCATTAAGGGTCCAATCATAGAATGTACGTTCCCATCAACTACTAATATAAGTCCAAATGAATCAAGAATTTCAAGAGTTTGCCTTTGTTATGATTTCTCGCCCAATACAAGAAAGACTAAAGCTTGATACAATAACCAACGACGACCGCAACGATGAATGCAGAGATCAACGGGACTTCCTGTTTTTGCCTCCGAAAAAGGCTGTGTATGCAGCTCAGATGTAATAGATCTAAACCCACTGCACAAGGTTTGAATATTCTATGCAATGTTAAAGCAAAGAATAAACATGCAGAACAATGTCTAACAAAAAGTTGAGAGCCCCAGAAAGAAGCTCGAAGAACAATCTGTTTAGTCCTTTCACATGGTAATGCACATATACTTTGCACCAGTGGCTAAGAAATCCAAAGAAAAATCACAGAACATGGAAAAGCAACAAAGGCTTCACCTCCACAGCTTGTAAAGTTCATGCAACCGCTGGCCTACAAAAACCCCACTCTTTGTCGAACTCAGATCACATCCCAATCCTGAACAGAAGAGAGAATTCGGACTTTTCTCTCACTGAATTGCTCGTCTGTTCTAATTCTTCGATGGCAATTCCTATGTTGAGATTGGATCGCCAAATGAAGAGAGTGTTTCAAGTGATGGGGGTCTTGCTCTGGGCAACAATGTTGGCGCGATGGAGCGAAGCATACGAGTTCAAAGCTGGAGATGCCAAGGGTTGGACCGTCCCTGCTGATTCCAGTGCAAATGCTTTAAATGAGTGGGCAGAAAAAAACCGTTTCCAAATTGGAGACTCTCTAGGTATGTCAATGCATTTTATCGTACTAGTGCAATCTTTATCACAATGTATTTTGTGCAATGTATATTGTGCAAGAACGGCATAAATGATCGGCAATTCATCTTGACTTGTTGGTTCTCTCCATTGATCCCTATCACAGTGTTTGTCTACCCGCCCGGCCAAGACTCAGTGCTATATGTGAACCAAGACGACTACAAAAATTGCAATGATGCATCGCCTATCGCAAAATATGTCGATGGCCACACCGTGTTCAAGTTCAACCAGTCAGGACCATTTCACTTCATAAGCGGAAACAAAGACAACTGCCACAAGAATGAGAAGATGGTGGTCGTTGTGATGGCTGACAGGAGCAACAAGACCAGTGGCGCAGTTTCACCGTCCCCGGCACCTTCTGGCGAGGAGTCTCCTTCTCCACCGGCCGGTACGGTGGAGATAAACCCAACTCCGGCTCCTGTCAGCCAAACACCACCACCCGGGAATGGCGCTACCTCAGTGTTTGTCGGTTTTACCGGTTCTATCGGAGCATTTGTGGCTTCATCTCTACTTCTGGCATTCTAAGCGGAGGATCGGGAATTACGATATTGCGTTGAATTTGCAGCGGCTATCTGAATTACCTTCTTTTGCTCTCTTTTTTTCACCCCAGTTTCTTCTCTGTGATTTTTCTCGCTTCAAGCTCGGCTACTTCATCTGGGCAAGGTGGAGCGGCATCTGACATTTGTTATTGAGGAATTTGTTTTGGTTTTACATATCACAAGTGTGTTGAGTTGTTTTCACCGTATGAGAACATTGTAGATGTGAACATAAATAAATTCCAGGGGCTTCTGGCAAGGTCGGTACTTTCAAATGCATCTCCTACATTTCATTGCTATCCAGTAAAAGATGAAGCGTTCATGGCATAGAACTAGAGACAATTTGGCTGGGTTAACTAGGGATGTGCAGAGGAACCGGAAATCGCCGGGATCGCCTTAGTGGACTAATAAAACCAGAAGAACATCAAACATCAATTGAAATACACAAGCACTCTTCATTTGAACGATTAACTCGCCATTCATGCGTCTATAAAGCGAGTAGAGTTTCATTTCTTGATTTGTCTAGACTTCGTTTGAAAGACAAAGGAAATCATTTTGTAAGCATACGTTGTTCAAGCCTGCGTGAAATTCGCGATTAATTTGATGTGCATATACCAATTGAAAGGCATCATGGCATTAAGATTTTTAAGTTATAGCCATTAATAGGTAAGGTTGTTTTCCCTCGATCAATCAAAGACTGAACAAACCAATTTACACCAATTTTAGCTACAAACCGATATATACATATTCCCTTTAAAAGAAATACCCACATAAAATCTAAGTTTATCATGGCATTGATGATGAATGCAATTTTGTAGCGATTGGGGACTGGTTCTATTGATCCACCCTTGAACCGGCCCAATCCGATTTCTAAGTGAATCCATCAAACAAACGGGCGATTTCCAGTTCTAATGTTTCGGAAGTGGTTCTTAGTGGGCAGTTTCCAGGTCCAAGGTGAGAACCGCCCATCCTGCCCACCCGGACCATGCTCACCCCTAGGTTAAACTACCTAACTGAGAATGTATTGAGATTGCACTTTATTTCACAACGAAGGGGCGCTATTGATCCCTTGCTGATACATCCGAAACCGATACTACATTACTCCAGGACTTGTATTGAACGAGTAAACATACAAAAAGCGGGAGGAAGCTAAACAGTAGCAATCCTCCCATACGAAAATCACTTCTAGAACAGCGAATGGACTCCGCGCAAGTTAAAATGATCTCAAGTGTTTTCTTTTAAAAGTCACGCAAATGAGTAATCTGTGCTCTTCTTTGACACTAGTCTTTCTTCAGATTCTCCTACAATACACTAGCAACTGTAATAACCATTCGTACATGCAACAAGCGTTTTCTTTTTCAGCCAAAAAAACTCGCAGCTGAATCTGGCAAGGCAAAATTGCAAGTATCCGCTTAAACAACATTATGCACTTCAGTCAAATATTTTTGCCTAACTCCACTTTTTTCATCAATCTAACTGTGTTGTGAAGAATCGAGTCCAATATACCAGCAACCTGCGAATCACACAAATAAAGAATATTAACACCAACAGACTACAAGCATAAACAAACCATGATGTTAAGTACCCACCGTGAAAATGCCTCCAATAATTGCACAAACATTTGTGATGAAATGCGAAAAGGACTTCGAGTTTTCCGTGATTAAAACCTAAATGGAGGAATAAGATGTAAACTCAATGCACAGAGAGAAAAGCGGAGAAAACTAGAAGCTGAAATCCCACAAAAGTATTTCTTATAGTTGTTTTAACCTGCATGGGAGAGAGCTCGAAATGGAATTTCACAACAGGTATGTACACACTCTGCACCAAGCTGCTGTGGGCAGTATACTCGTACTCCTCAACTAATTTGTGGGTTCCTCTAGTTATCACCTCTGTTTTGACTATTTGAAGATAATGTTCAATCTGCAAATGGAAAAGGGATAAGAAAAAGAAAAACAGGATCTCCATGTCCAGGCACCTCTAGGATTGACATTACACGGGTGATGGTATGAGTTGCAGATAACATGCTGAACTTACAGTAACATTTGCACCTATATCGTGCTGATTAATAAATGCTCGGCCATTCAGTCTATCGTGGCTTCCACCAAGATAAGGTATCAACCTCTTTGCATCGCTCATCACTCTAGGGGAAATCTTCCTACCAAATGACAGATGTGATATGACATGTGACATGTTCATTTCCGAAGTATCAAAAGAATGGGCTCCTGAACGAGCTGAGATGATAAGGCTGCCAGGGACCTGTAAGGAAAAAGATTGAAGTTGAATATAACTAAGTGTCACCTAAAGACAGGCCAACAGACCAAACATTTAAAATCAGTGAGGTATAAATGATCCAGATGCCTACACCCCAAGGAAGCAAGTCATCATACATGACTCCAATGCATCAACTCTACTAAGTGCGCTATTAGCTTTACCTTCTTTACCCGTACAAATCCTTCAATTCTGCAGCCTCCCGAAGAAGGAGCTGGTCTTTTTATTTTATCTGTTGAATTATCAGTAGAGGAAGCGTGCTTCTCAGACTCCACTGGAATTGGCGCAATTAGCTGTTCCATCATCTGTAGGATATGTAAGTTCCACATAAGATAATGATGCCTCAATATACCCATACCATTCTCAAGGCAAACTACATGCGTGAGATTATTATTAGATATAAGAATTTAAGTTCCTACAAAAAGAATGCTCGAACCTTAACCAGGCTCTCTGTGTCTCGATCTCCATAATAGGACTCGTGTTCATGGTGTCCATGGTCCTCCCTGTGATCAAAGCAAACTTGCATGTTAATGTCCAATATAGGAGACTATAAAGGGACAAGAAGAAGTGAATGCAAGCATTCATTCAGTCATGCACACCTATAGAACTTAGTGCGATAAAAATGATAGGAGAGATCTAATCACAGACATCTGCATACATGCAGAAAATGCATATTAACAGCAAAATGATAACACAACAGTAGTCATTGAATAACTTATTTGGAAGATGAATAGGAGATGAAAAAATAGCTGTGTTACCTAAGATCAGTTCCCTTACGAAAAATGCGAATGGATGGATACCCTTGTATGTGATTCCTGAGAACGCATAAGGAACACTGTTAACCATAAGGAAGAAATTGAAGGGATCCACAAACAGAAAGAACATATAACAGAGTAAGGGGCAAAAGGGAGTCAACAATAATGATATGAGGATCGTATGTTGCTAGCTGAAAAGCTAACTGCCAATAATTGCACAAGAACTATTCTCTACATATTTCAAAAACTGTCACCAGATACTAATGGACAACTTAATAACTACATGTAGTAAATATCGCCACGGTTTGCAAGATAATGCTTATATTGACAAATACTAGAGTTCCTAGCAGAACCAAAAACACAGCTGTGAGCCCCCAACAGAAGAGCTCTTCTTATAGCTCAAATATCAATATATTTGCATCACTTTGCGGACTCAACTCCAAAGAGAGGAGCTTTTACCTATATCACAAACACACAGCAAGCTAGACCTGAATGCTCATACTTAGGAGGATTCAAAAACTTGTGCAGAAAACTATATATTTCCTATTTCACAGGAACAATAGAAGAACTGTCTCATTGGCTCACAGCACTTTCATTTGTAAAACTCAGAAATGCTATGTTTGGCAAATGGTGGAGAATGGGGGGAATGAAAACTTAAATGGAAAATAATGAAAATTTTAAAACTTTTGTGAGAAGGGTGTGGACGGAATTTTCCCCATTTTTATCTAGTGGGTGTCTTCTAAACATAGCTCAAACGCATTAAACAGCAACAGAAACTGCTTTTAGTTCAGAAAATGGTTATTTCCCCCTCATGCCAGGTATTTAGGGACAGGGACAAAAAGGGACGAGTAGCCAAGGACTTCAAAGCTTGGTAAGGGACACTAAGAATACTAAGTAGAACCCTTAAAAGCATTAGGGGCTGCTTGTATCAAGAAAATTTTCTGAATTTTCATTTTCAAATGAGAGAGAGCATTTGTTTGTTACAACCTTCAAAACTGTTTTCACTAAAAACGCAATTTTTTCATTTGAAAATGTGTTTTTCACTTGAGGGCTTCAAAATTAAAAATAACTTGTTCAGAGTTTTCTTTTCTTCTGAAAACACAGTTACATTATGTGCTAGAAATCACGTCTTTTTTCTTATTCCTGTTTGTGCAGTGCAGTCTTGGCTAAATACACAGCTGGGCTTCAATCAATAGATGATTGCTAGTCGAGTGAAGGTAGGCGGAGCTTCAACCATCTGAATCAAGGATGGGAGAAGAGGAAGACCACGATGTTTCATGCTTCAGCACAAACCACAAAGCTCAAGCAGATGTCCGAAGCTCTGCCATGCAAAGTTTTCTCTTTTATTTTTTACTGGTTTTTCCCCCCTTTTTTTTATATATTGAAGCAGTGAAGTTTTACGAAGCGGTGACTTTCATGAAGCTCCACAAGTGAAGGTTTTCATTAAAAAAAAAAAAACTGAAAGATCTAAAGGTAAAAATATGAAAGTGTAGCAATTTTTGTATAGTTAACCAATTTTTTGAAAAGCCAATTTTTCAGTAAAGGTACAGAATTGTGTGGGGATTATAATATTACATTTGTTAAAATTTCAAAGTCTGGTTAAAATGTCACAAACAGACAGATCTTCATAATTTCCATTTTCCCAGTTTCAATACCAGAAAACTTTTCATGAAAATTGGAACTGTTTTCATTTTCATTAAAACTGAAAACATTCTCACAAACCAAATGGACCCTTAATATTTTCAAGCCCATTTATCTCAGTTTCCAGTGTTAAAATTGCAAGGAAAAACAATGGGATTGACATTCAACTATCAAACATAATATTCATTTTCCACACAGATGACCGTTAAATAGCTTGATATCATCAGTATACCTGCGACACAAATCTCCTTCTTCGGTGCAATCAACCTTTCCTGAAAGAATACGTCCATCGATTTCTGGATCATATCTGGAACCAATTGTCAACAACTGAGAGATTGAACTTGCATATTCTCAAACAAATTCGGTTAAATCGTAACTGTAAGCAAAAAAAATCACAAGCTGTAGCCGATGTACCTCTCTCTTATTATCTTAGCAGCCCTCTCCCACGATGGTTTCTGTGAAAGAGAAATAGAATGATAGGCTCCATCAGATTTCAATAACAGTCACAAACACGCAAGACCATTCACTATGATCTTCACAAACTCGTTATCTTGTATTAAACAATGAAACTGGCCGAGTTCTATGATTGGTCATT